GATGGAGTTCACCAATATCTACGTGTCACCAAGATGGAGTTCACCAATATCTATGGAGAGACTTTGTGTTCACCAATATCTATGGAGAGACTAGCAACGAGGGGAAGGAGAGTGCATCTACATACCCTTGTAGATCGCTAAGCGGAAGCGTTCAAGTGAACGGGGTTGATGGAGTCGTACTCGTCGTGATTCAGATCACCGATGATCCTAGTGCCGAACGGACGGCACCTCCGCGTTCAACACACGTACAGCTCGACGATGTCTCCCACGCCTTGATCCAGCAAGGAGAGAGGGAGAGGTTGAGGAAGACTCCATCCAGCAGCAGCACAACGGCGTGGTGGTGATGGAGGAGCGTGGCAATCCTGCAGGGCTTCGCCAAGCACCTACGGGAGAGGAGGAGGTGTCACGGGAGGGAGGGAGGCGCCAAGGGCTCAGGTATGGATGCCCTCCCTCCCCTCCACTATATATAGGGGCAGGGGAGAGGGGGGAGGCGCAGCCTTGCCCCTTCCTCCAAGGAAGGGGTGCGGCTAAGAGGGGGGGAGGAGTCCATCCTCCCCAAGGCACCTCGGAGGTGCCTTCCCCCTTTAGGACTCTCCCCTTTTTCCTATATCTTGGCGCATGGGCCTCTAGGGGCTGGTGCCCTTGGCCCATGTAGGCCAAGGCGCACCCCCTACAGCTCATGTGGCCCCCCGGGGCAGGTGGCCCCACCCGGTGGGCCCCCGGGACCCTTCCGGTGGGCCCCCGGGACCCTTCCGGTGGTCCCGGTACAATACCGATGACCCCAAAACTTGTCCCGATGGCCGAAACAGGACTTCCTATATATAAATCTTTACCTCCGGACCATTTCGGAACTCCTCGTGATGTCCGGGATCTCATCCGGGACTCCGAACAACATTCGGTAACCACATACAAGCTTCCTTTATAACCATAGCGTCATCGAACCTTAAGTGTGTAGACCCTACGGGTTCGGGAGACATGCAGACATGACCGAGATGTTCTCCGGTCAATAACCAACAGCGGGATCTGAATACCCATGTTGGCTCCCACATGTTCCACGATGATCTCATCGGATGAACCACGATGTCAAGGACTCAATCAATCCCGTATACAATTCCCTTTGTCTAGCGGTATGGTACTTGCCCGAGATTCGATTGTCGGTATACCGATACCTTGTTCAATCTCGTTACCGGCAAGTCTCTTTACTCGTTCTGTAACACATCATCCCGTGATCAACCCCTTGGTCACATTGTGCACATTATGATGATGTCCTACCGAGTGGGCCCAGAGATACCTCTCCGTTTACACGGAGTGACAAAATCCCAATCTTGATTCGTGCAAACCCAACAGACACTTTCAGAGATACCCGTAGTGTGCCTTTATAGCCACCCAGTTACGTTGTGACGTTTGGCACACCCAAAGCACTCCTACGGTATCCGGGAGTTGCACAATCTCATGGTCTAAGGAAATGATACTTGACATTAGAAAAGCTTCAGCATACGAACTACATGATCTTGTGCTAGGCTTAGGATTGGGTCTTGTCCATCACATCATTCTCCTAATGATGTGATCCCGTTATCAACGACATCCAATGTCCATGGTCAGGAAACCGTAACAATCTATTGATTAACGAGCTAGTCAACTAGAGGCTTACTAGGGACATGGTGTTGTCTATGTATCCACACATGTATCTGAGTTTCCTATCAATACAATTCTAGCATGGATAATAAACGATTATCATGAACAAGGAAATATAATAATAATCAATTTATTATTGCCTCTAGGGCATATTTCCAACAGGTACAACTGACGTGTGAGATCCTTATACACAAGGATTACTCCTACAACGATGATTATTCATGCTTGTGTGTCTGCAATGACGACACATGTAATCATCTAAATGACGGAGTTTAAAATGAAGGATTTGGGTAAACCAAAATACCGCTCGTTACTACGAATTGAGCACCTTCATTCATGCATTATGATATACTATGTTGTTTATATCCATAATATATTAGAGAAATTTATTGTGGACAAATATTATCCATCCATAACTCTCGTGGTAGTTTATTCTCTAGACGTAGAGAAAAATCTATTTAGACCAAGAGATGATGGAAATGAGATGGGACTCAACGTTCCATAATGTCATTGGATCCACCAAACACAATTGGTTGGTACTCAAGAATATCTTTCGATGTCTCCAAGGCATCAAACATCTTGTCCTGAATTTTCAGTTTCACACAAATGTGAACACCGATATCATTGGATACATTGATCAGATCCCCCACTATGTCAGATCATTGACAAGCTTAGTATTCGTACTAGGTGTTGTAGCCCTCTCATGAAGAGTCTTTGAAACAGATCTCATGGCTACATCCACCAACCATTATCTCAACGATAATGTTTCTTATGTTGCCCGGATGCAAACAGGTTACATAATAAACAATATCACTATATTGCATATCTTGCAAGTCAAATCATGGGACCGATTTGTTCACCAGGTTTCTACCAACTTTTATGTTCCAAAAATGTGTTCATGGAAGTGCCAACTTTTATAATGTTCATTTTCTCCTTATTTTCCCCCTGGATTTGAAGGAGTTTTAGCAACATATCAAACACCTATCTCCTCATATTTTTCCCATAGGGTTTTTTGGAGGAGCTTTTTCAAAATGATGATACTTACACTAACAAGCATGGATTAGGAGGAGTGTTAGGATTTAATTAATTCTATTAATCCCTGCTTTTCCTAACCGAGGTGGTTGCCTCACATCCCTTCAGTCGCATCCCTTCAAAGGGCTATATACATGTGTAAACGACATCATCAATGAGAATAACTATTCACTTTTACTTCTTTGTCTCCCTCTCTCGCGTTCCTTTTCAACACCAATCACCAGAACCGCGGCGGCGAAGCCACCAAAGCCGGCCTCGAGCCTTGGTGCGGCCGAACCGGCGAGAAGCCAGGCGGGCACTTTGGGCTGCAGAGGCGCCAATGGCTGCGCGGGTTGGTTCAAGGGCCCCGCACCATTCCGTGGCGGCGACGAAGATCCTGGCGGCGCTGATTCCAACCTTCACACCGGAAGCGGCAGAGTCCACCAACACCATTGCTGCGGTGGCCAGCGACGAAGAGGCGGCGACCCCGCGAACCAGTCGAACAAATGCCTTCATTGATGGTTGAGGCATTTATATACGGATTCCGTCTGGTCGGGGATTTACAAGAGACGCCTGGTCGGGGATTTACAAGAGACGCCTGTACGAGGTGCCTGTTTAATGAATAGGTGCGTGTTCGTAAGGCAGTTATAATCTAATTGTAACACTGGCCTCTGGGAGACCAGATGAGCGTTAATTCGGCCCACAGGGTAAAAAAAGCCCAGAAGCATTTCAGTCCGTGGTCTTTTTGTACTGCTTTAAAAAAGTTCGGACCTACGCATCGCTACATGCCTAAACCATCTCGCACCACGTTCAACCTAACTACACAGCGGACGAGTTATGGACAATTTGCAGAAGATGCAGGGCATCAGGCCGTCGATGCATGGAGCAAAAGTGAACAGCACCGTTGAATCCTCCAATCATCCAAAGTTCGGCCGGCGACATTTTCGTTCAGGTTCTCACTAACTGAAAACCTCTTCAACCGCAAAACACAGATATAAACCACATTGTATATAAAGTAAATATTTCCTAATTATGGCAAAAAAAACCACTAAAACAACAGAACGTCAACCAATGCAACACTTACCACATTGGAATAGAGAAAAACTAAAACAAGCAACTCAGTACTTCGGTGGTTTATCATGCCACCAAAAACTAAACTGATTGGCCAACTACAAGCCAACATTCATCTGCAATCATGCAACCGAACAGAAAAATTTGATCCTACGCTTCAGATCCCCGGCGAGGAACAAAGATATAGACGATGGGTTCCAAATAATACTTTGATGCCTAGTTGAATTTCAAACGGAAAGGCCCACCAACCATCATAAATGAAGTCAGCAGCTGCAAGGGGGCCAAAGGGGCGTCCAAAGAATGGAAAATCTGTGTACCACCAAACCAATTGACAACCCTTAACTGTTAGCAGATTGCAAAGCAAGATTTGCACCTTAATGCTTCTTCAGTAAGAAGCCCAACTAGCGAATCCACCAAACCAATTGACAACCCTTAACTGTTAGCAGATTGCAAAGCAAGATTTGCACCTTAATGCTTCTTCAGTAATTGACCCCTGAAGAAGGAAGATCACGCAAAACTTCTAAAAGAACAGTATCCCTCCAGCTGGGATGTGACTCGGTACGTGAAGAGAATATTGCTAGATTTGCACCTTGATTTGGAAGAAGCATAATTAGCAAAGCCACAATAACCATACCAGGCAACTTGTTGAGCACCTGGCGAAGGAAGATCACACAATCTCTCCAGCTGGCATGTGGCTTTGCTATGGGCAAGAGAATAAAGCAATGCTAGCATAATAACATAAGAGTAGCAACCACCTGCAATTTGAGAGAAAAGGATCATTAAACCCATGAATAAATTAACCAACTAACTGAAGAAATGTAAGCAGATAGGGAAACATACCTCTTACTAAAGATGGCTGAAGCTTAAAAGATCGTTCAGCAGGGAAACAGCGCCCAAAGACCACCCGAAATAAGGGTTTAGCTTGATCACCATGGCACATCTGAATTTCAGCCTCATGATAGATCGGCGGCACAGGAATGTTCACCTCATACATCTTCAATAACTTTCACATGCAGAGCAACTTGGGTGGTCCTTAGTCCTTGCGCTCCTCAAGGAAGGCAGAAACTAAAGGCAATCAAGTAATGTTCATAACAGTAGTGTTCACCGGTATCCACTCAACTCTAGTTCTATGTAGGACACATAACCCATACAATTCAGTAAGCCAAGAACCTGACAAGTAAAAGGTTTTGTTGTCCCTTGAACATATAGTAGCACAAAAAGCGGGAACAAAGGGGCGCCCTTCAAATTTCATGTTGAAATATCAACGCTGCAAAGATGTTGATTTATTCGGCGGTCTGCATCGGCGTCGTACCCTGTGCATGGTACTTCTCCAACTCAGCATCAAGTTCTTCAGCAGACCTTGGCTGACTACGCTCTTTCCCACGACGACCGCCAGATCCACTGCCTCCGCCACCACCACGACGACCCCTCCCACCCCTTGCACGGGATCTGTTCTGTGGCAAACTAGCTGAGACACCCCTTGGTGCACTGTAACAAATGAAGTGGTGTACGTTAAGGCGGGAAAATCTATTACTAACAGACAAAGCAACAAAAGGTGCACCTATAAACATTCAATAAAGCAGGAAAATGGTGGAACATGATTAATATGCTAGATAACCTAACCAGCTAACTATGTAGACAAAGATGAATTCTTGAAACTGAAATTCATAATTCATTTCTGCTAATACCCCTACAAACTAAGAACAAACTAAATGTGATGCCATTGCAACACGTCGAGCACCTACTGTTATATAATGTCAAATGAAATATTGGGCAATATATAATGGAACACCTCTGCAGTCGTATTATCACCAATTCACCATCCACAACATTTAATATCACACAAGACTTTATGACCAATTCTGGCAAACAGGCAAATTCAGATACTTTACTGGCAATAAATTGAATCCACAAATATGTAATGCGCCAAATCTAACATACCTCTTAGCAACATTCCTAGCATAGGTTCCATTATTGGTTGGTAGTGCAGCTGGAGCAGTAGGAGTGTTGGTCCCAAGTATCTCTATTTTCATAGGCTTGCCATCAAGTTGGACATTGTTGTATTTCCTCAGCGCTGCAACAGCATCACCACGCCTTGCAAATATAACCTCAGCTGTTCCCTGCAGAACGTAAGTACTGTTGGGCATCACACAGAACACACACATGGAAGATGGAACAAAGAAAAACATAAGACTAGATCAGTACCTTAGACCTCCCACTTCGGTCGTAGTGAATCAAGCATCGCTTCACATCACCCAGCTCGGAGAAAAGCTCCTGAACCATTCAAAGAAAAAATAACTCAGGAACAGTACCTTATGAACAAGAAACTGCAAAAAGCATTTTATGGAGAGCATATCAACATTTAAGTAAACTATACAAACTGAGAGACTAAGTTTATAACAAGAAAATGATTCCAAGTGAGCGTCAACTTATGAAGTAAGCAATAAGATATGCAAAAGCATCATCAATTAAACGAACCAAACTGAGACTACCGTAGAGCAATCGAAAACATAACCACGCCAGTCAAGAGGTCACACCCTTCCAAACAACCATTAACGATTAATTACAATTGAGAACTAAAGTCCTATTCACAGAAACAAGCTAAGAAAATTCAACAACGCGAGGCTACTAGCACGACCAAATCACAGCTGTGGTACTGAGCCTGTGCCAGATCTATAAAATAGCTTGACTAATACAACGTCCAGGGAAACTATGAGATTCTTTGAGACCAACTACTAAGAAGCAACCAAGTTACATGAGAGCAACAACTGGACATGTAGATCCGGCGACGTATATACCTTGAGGTCCTCGGTTGAGACGCCGAAGTCCAAATTGGTGATGAGGAGCTTGGTGCCGGTCTCGATAGCCGAGACCCTCCCGCCGCCGCCGCCTCTGGCAGAGGCGTCCGAGTACATGTCGTGCTGCCACGCCGATTCCGGGGCCTGGATCGCGTCACACCAGAGTGAGAAAACCACCAGATCATCCTCCCCCGCCTCGGCGAAAACGGAAGACCATCCTCCGCCGACGGCGCGAAGCCTAGCCCGTGCGATTCGTTCGTACCTTCGGCGGCTGGTAGGGCGCCGCCCTGTTCCCCGACCTCTTGAAGGCGCGCCTGTTGGGGCCGACGCCTCCGGCGGCGGCCGCTGCCGCGCCGCTGCCGGCAGCGGCAGATCCGCGGCGGCCCTCGCGGCGGCGGCCACCCCCGCCGGACGAGGAGTTGCCCTTCTTGTTGCTCTTGATGATGTCGTCGAGGGACATGTCGAGGGACTCCGCCATGGCTGCGCGGGCGAGCGGGCGGATCTGGCGCTAGGGTTGGGACGGGGGAGCTCGGCGACGGGGAATCGAGAATTGGTGGGGGAGCTGATTAGGGTTGCCAAGTCGTGGGGCGTTGGGGAATTTGGGAGATATTTTTGCGGGAGGCGGGCGCGATAAAATAGTAGGGGGGGACGCGTAGGGAGAACGCGTGGTGGTGAGGGCGCACGAGTCACGACCCACGCGGGCGCGACGGGGATTGTTTCGGCTGTGGGTCGGTTCGGGCCTTCGCGGTCGGACCGGACTCTACCTTGCTGGGCTCGTTCTTCCTTCCTACAAATCCCATTATGCCAAACCAGTTTTTTTCTTTTGACATCATTATTTTTTTTCAAGGGAAAGGGAGTTTTATTAAGTAGTAATAGTGTTACAATCAAGAGGCCACAAATCCTCGATACAATGTGGAGCCGAGGTCAACCACACAGCAGTTGTGCTCTGGGTACGGCTATAGTTGGCCAAACGATCTGCAACTCTATTTTGACTACGAAGAATTTTCTGAGGATAAAACTCCCTACTACACATTAACTCTTTGATCTCTTTAACCAAATGATCATACGCCGAGCGCTCAAGACTCCCGTTCAATAAGCAAGAGAGCGCTTCCAATGAATCCGACTTAACGACAACTGAAAGTGTAGAGTGTTGGACAGTCAAAGCCATGTCTTGCATGGTCGCATGTATTCCTGCTTCCAAGGAGTCGTTGCAGTGGAAGATCACACGATACGCAGAGAAGATGATATGACCGGCGTTGTCGCGAAGCACCATTCCAGCAGCAGCAGATCCGTCGGACCCGTTAAAGGATCCATCCACCGAGAGTGCCATATGACCTGGTTGTGGTTTCGGCCACGGCGCTGCTTGAGGCCTCGGTTTCTCCACCATGGGAGGGGTAGCCGAAGATGGCATCTTCCCTTTAACAATCTCTTCAGGTGAGAACCTACCCGCCAATCTGACTGATAGTAGTTGTCCAAGAAATCGACTGTGACATGAACCGGAGGAACCTTCTTACCATGTGTTTGGTCAGACCGCAGCTGCCAAATACGCCATTGGAGCATGATGATCATGTCTCGTGTATCATCATGACATCTAGATATAAGATGTAGTAGCCACTCCCTTACATTGTCAATCAACAAATCATCACCAGGGAGGGGCTATCTAATACGCATACTGGTCCATATACTTCTGGCAAGAGGGCACGCCACTAAGGCATGGAATGTTCCTTCCTCCTCCACACCACATAAGGGGCACGTGGATCTTGTTGCAAGATTCCTAAAGACTTTACATTTTTGTGTTGGTAGGGCTCCAGTGGCTACTTTCCAAGCCAATATTTTCATGCGTTGTGGAACCAAATATTTCCATATGCAATTCCATAGCGTTCGGCGACCGCTAGGGACAAAGCTAGAAGAGCCTCCTGCGAAAAGAAACCTCATGATCGCATGTGGCCAATTTATATGCACTTCTGACCGTAAACAATCTGTACGCTGCCCCGGGCAAGTTCGTATCTTTAGTATATGCTCGATGTCCAGCGACCAAAAGTGCTCTCTTAATCTGTCCAACCTCCAAGCACCATTTCCATCCAAAAAATCAGAGACTCTATTGAAACAACAGTTGCGCTTCGGGATGATAGGCCGGTAAGAATAAGGTCGTGGGATCCAAGGATCTCTCCATGTACGAATAAGAGTCCCATTCCCAACGCGTCAAATTATACCCTTCTTCAGCAACTCGAGCCCATGCAATATGCCTTTCCACACCGCCACCCCATTGCCCGAGAACACAGTATCAAGAAGATGATCGGTAGCAAAGTACTTAGCTTTCAACAGTCTAGCACACAAACTCTCTGGTGCATCGATAAGTCTCTAGGCCTGTTTAGCAAGAAGCGTATGGTTGAAAGCTCTCATATCTCTAAAGCCCATGCCACCCATAGCTTTCGGTAGCTTCATCTTGTCCCAACTCAGCCATGCCATCTTCCTCTTCCCTTTTTCCACACCCCACCAGTACTAATGAATCATACGTGTTAGTTCATCACATACCGAGGCAGGGAGCTTGAAGACACTCATCACATAAGTCGGAATCGCTTGGGCCAGTGACTTGATTAGTATCTCTTTGTTACCTGAGGACATGTACTGCTCCCCCAATCTACTAACCTTTTCCTCAGTCTCTCCTAAATAGTTTCAAAATTCCCTTGGTGCATTCTCCCCTCCAGCGCTGGGAGTCCAAGGTACTTAGGCTCAAAAAATTCCCGAGTAATTTCCAGAACACCCTTTACTTCTGTAGCGACCATGGGCAAGCAATGATTAGAAAAAATGATGGAGCACTTTGATGGATTAATTAATTGGCTCGTGGCCTCCGTGTGAGTGTTCAACAAACCCTTCACCAATAATGCCTGCCGCTCCGACGCTTGAAAAAATAATAAGGAATCATCCGCAAATAAAAGATGTGATATCTCAGGGGCACTGTTGGAAATATGCCCTAGAGGCAATCATGGATGATGATATTTCCTATGTGTTTATGAATAAAGATAGTCCTTAGACATTATCAATGATGTATATCAGCAAGTACATGACTTGTTTGTGGGACTATGCATTGTATGATTACTGTCCTAAAAGGCGCCTAGTCGAAAGGGTTGTGTGGACGCGCAGTTGACTAGACTAGCATATGACACGGTCGATGGCTTGGTCTCGCTAGCCATGGAGCATTGGATGCTAACCGGATAATATGGACTCGGAAGGATATGGTCGGATTCGACGTAGTCGGATCCGAGTCGAGATAAGGTCTGAGTCGGACAGACCCAACTATGAGACGCAGCGATATGTCATCTGTGAGTTTCTAATACAACATACGTTCTATGTCCTAAGACCTGAGCTGGCGCATGTACTCAGGATGGTGACAGGCCTGCTTTGGGCCAACCAAATTCTACTCCGTGACTAGGTTGTTACAAAGGTAGGTTTCAGGCTTGTCCAGACCCATGCTGCGAGACATGGTCGAGCAAGATGGGATTTGCCCCTCCGATCAGGAGAGATATACTTTGGGCCCCTCGTGTGATCCGACCAGGATAAGCATGGCCATGTGACAAGGATTATGAGATAATTCGGGTTGTGGTCGGCATCACTGGAACGAGAAAGAGGTCGGACTAGCACAACGATGACAGACTCGCCTTGATCCTGATAATATATATCGTGTGGCAAAGGAAATGGAAGTGTGATGTACAGGTTCGCCAACTGGCTTCATAATGTGCTTAGTGGCCGGCATGCCTTGCTAGAGGCCGCTACCAACCGTGTAGTTCGTAGGTGATCCGAACTGTGGCCAAGTCACTTGAACATAAGGGGTCACACGCTTAAGGGAAGGAACCTGTGGGGCCAGATCGGACTCCACGAGTCAGATGTGATCCTGCTCGGACTCGGATCCCGGCCAAATAGATTTTGAGCTTTAAGGTCTGTGCGAGGCCCAAGTGTTGAGCCCACGACGGGCGCCTATATAAAGTGGAGGTTCGGTGCACTCATTCGGTTGATCGCTTCGTCGTTGTCACTAGGGTTTGCATGTGTTGCGAATAGCCACCTCCACTCATCGTTGACTATGTGATCAGACCTAGCAGTCCGGCGCACGGTGTACCTCCTACACACGCGGATACCGTTAGAGGCAGTGCACCTGCGCCGCTCCAGCGAACCTGTTCGTGGGATCCGATCGGCTACGAGGAGGAGACGACTCTGGACACGCTGCCCCAACTCTTCTTCAGTTGCACGGCACCGCGCGTCTAGTGGTAATGATCTGTGATCCGTCTCCCGTAGCATGTTCTTCGTTGTTCTGCACGTAGGAAAATTTTAATTTGCGATCGACGCACCCTACCGTAGAACCTGATGACCGACAAGTATATGGGGTCAATTGTAGCCTTTTCGATAAGTAAGAGTGTCAAATCCAATGAGCAGCGGAAGGAAATGACAAGTGGTTTTCAGCAAGGTAATGTCTGCAAGTGCTAAAATTGTAAGTAGTAGAGTAGTTTGATAGCAAGATAATTTGTAACGAGCAAGTAACGATAGTAGTAACAAAAGTGCAGCAAGGTAGCCCAATCCTTTTGAGGCAAAGGACAAGCCAAGACAGTCTCTTATGATTAGCAAAGTGTTTTTGAGGGTACACGGGAATTTCATCTAGTCAATTCCATCATGTTGGCTTAATTCGTGTTCGCTTCTTTGGTAATTTTGGTATGTGGGTGGACCGGTGCTTAGGTGATGTTCTTACTTGAACAAACCTCCTGCTTATGATTAACCCCCTCACAAGCATCTGCAACTACGAGAAAAGTATTAAGAATAAATTCTAACCATAGCATTAAACTTTTGGATCCAATCGGTCCCTTACGGAATAGCGCATAAAGTAGGGTTTAAGCTTCTGTCACTCTCGCAACCCATCATCTAATAACTACTCCACAATGCATTCCCTTACGCCCAAATATGGTGAAGTGTCATGTAGTCGACGTTCACATGACACCACTAAGGGAATCACAACATACATATCATCAAAATATCAAACACATATCAAGTTCACATGATTACTTGCAACATGATTTCTCCCGTGACCTCAAGAACAAAAGTAACTACTCACAAATGATAATCATGCTCAAGATCAAAGGGGTATTAAATAGCATAATGGATCTAAACATATAATCTTCCACCAAATAAACCATATAGTAATCAACTACAAGATGTAATCAACACTATTAGTCACCCACAAGCACCAATCTATAGTTTCGGTACAAAGATTGAACACAAGAGATGAACTAGGGTTTGAGATGAGATGGTGCTATTGAAGATGTTGATGGAGATAGCCCTCCCCAAGATGGGAGAGTTGTTGGTGGTGATGATGGTGATGATGATTTCCCCCTCCGGGAGGGAAGTTCCCCCGGCGGAATCGCTCCTCCGGAGGGCAAAAGTGCTCCTGCCCAGGTTCCACCTCGAGACGACGGCGCTTTGTCCCGAAAGTCC